TATAGAAATAGGCATTAGAAATGAAAATGTGTGATATTTTAAAAATGGATGCGACTTATGTAAATAAAGTCAAAATTTCCCGTCATTGGAGTGAACATTTAAAAGTATATTACTTTGAAACTTACTTGTAGTTTCTCCATCATCCCAGAAAAGGTCTCCTTTTGCTGTGTTATTTTCATCTAACGCTATTATAAGTCCTAGGGGATTCTTACGGCTGTTAAGGAAAATTAGGTGCATATATGATTAAAAATAAATATATTATAGTAAAAATCCTATAGATAAGTCCATTTCAACCTATTTTATAATAAATCTGTTTATATGTATTAATAATTTTAATATCAATTTTCTTATAAGAATATGGAAATAATTTATATACTTAGAAAATAAAGAAATAAATACAATACTGGATTTTTTGAAGTCTGAGACACCTACAAATTGAAACAGTGTAATATTTTAATTCAAAAAGAAAAATTAAATGTGTCCTATGAATGCTCAGTCCAACCTGTATAACCCTAAACTGCAAGGTATTAAGTCTACATCTCATGTGTAAAACAATGAAAAGTATAATATAAAATTAAAAAAAAGTTTAGCGGAATCTCCAACAACCTTAAAAAGGAAGCTAATTGCAACAGAGAAATGAGACATGTGATCGATCAATAAAATTATTTTTCTTATTTTTATATTACCCTAAAATGGTATCCCTCAGGCTGTACAGTCTAGGCAACTATTCTGTACAGAATATATTCCTTCTAGCAATCATTTACCAAAGTGTATGTTCCTCCTTTTCAGTACATTTCCAGAGTACAACCAATTTTTTAAAGCATAGTCATGAACAGTTACATTATGACAGTAGTCAATTCTAGAATGCCAAAATTATTAAATTACTAACGCACATTCATTCTCTCATTAATTTGTTCCCTCAACAAATACAGGAAATAGAGAACCTATTATGGGCTGGACACTGTTAAAGATTTGGGGGATAAAGCTGTAAAAGGTCAAGTCCCTGCTTTTATGGAGTTTATAGTCTAGGTGAGGAGGCATACTGCATATAAGAAAAAGTAAATAATATAATTTCAGATATTCTTAACATTATAAAGAAAATACAACAGGGTGAGGAATAGATAGAAACTATCTGTTGGGGTATTGCAGAATATAGAAAGGCATGTGAATTCAATATGACACCTTCTGTGCCCTTATACTCAGAATGAATGCTGCAAAATGAAGCATCAAAATTTTCAAGTTTCTTCTATTTTTCCAAATATTTCTGAGTTTTATTCTTACTGAACAACTTGGTTTCTCTCTTGCTCTTTACCAAACCCAAAATATCCACCTATTTTATCAACTTAAAGAAAAACATTTTAGCAGAAAGAATAACTTTGTGACTTATTTATGTATAGAAATTCAAGTATGTAAAAATCAGTACATTCTTTTCTCGATTATATTGCAAATATTAATATTTCATATTTTTATTAAGTATCAAAGATTATCTTCAATTCTGCATATTCTACAGAAAATATAAGTAAATTTTTGGTACAGGAAATGAATTTCTAATCTAATCATATTCATTAATTTAATCCAAGACATTTGTAACAATATGCATAATTTGATTCTTTTTATAACAATTATGGGTATAGTTAAGTATTACTTCTGTGTGTCAACATTCTTCTGGTGGTAAAGCTAAACATTAAACTCAGATTCTTAATAAAAATACAAAATATTAAAACTTGAATTTTATTGTAGATCTCAATTAACGATTTTCATTTTACCTTGCTGTTGTTGTTACATCTGGTTGTTGAATGGGGATGATATAACCTCCTCTAAGATGTAATCCTATTTTGTCTGCTGGAAGATACATATCAACACGTTGTTTTCGCCAAGGCCTTTTTGCACCCTAATATTTGGAAGATAAAAAGATTTTTTTATTGTTAGTGAAGACTTTAAACTCTATTTTACAAGAATTAAAATTTATACGTGGATAGCATGAATTGCTCATGTTAAAAATTGTTTCCATGTACCCAAAACTACATGGAAACAATTTTGATCATGAGCAATTCATGCTATCCACATGATATTAATATATTGTTTTCCAACTTTTAGAGAGTTTTTTTGCTTACTGAACAAATCAAAAGAAAATGTTTAATTTCTCAAAAATACAATCTACATAAAGAAATCTATTTCCTATCTATAATAATTAACAATATATTTAATTAGCTCCACTTTTTATTTTTTGTTTTGGGTGAAATTTAACCATGTCTTTAGAAAGGATTTTCTTAAAATCAGTTTCTATAAAAATAAAGGGTTTGCTTAGCAAATATAAGTGATATGCAAAATAATACTTTTAAAATAAATACTTCTCAAGATGTCTTGGTAAACAGAAAAAACAGATTATGTGTATGAATGTACATATCTTGACTTTCAAGGTTAAAATGAAAAGACTTTTCCAAATGTTTGGATATACCATACAAAAACAACATATAAGATTAGCTCAGTACTCAATTAATTCTTCTGTCAATAAGATTAATATGTAAAATTGGAAAAAGCATTAAAATAAGTTGCCATTTCTTCCTAAATTACTGCTGACCTTTTACTTTCACAATTTAAAAATGAATAATATATCTTTATACTAAAGAATGTAATTTCATATTAAAGTCTAGTTCCTGTGCAACAAAGAGTATACTTATGGAAATGTTTACACATTACTCAATTTGAAACTATTATTTTTATAATAGTGATAGAAATCCTAAAATAAATACGCCAAATGTTGGAGTTACGTTTCCATGTGCAAATGTTTAAAAATATACTTGCAAGTCCGTAAGTCTATTAAGGTTACTTACAGTTTCATAATCATACCAAGTAGCATCAGGGATATATGCACTCACTGTATCTGCTCCCTAAAATAAAACAAGATAATACATGTTTTTTTAATTTCAACCTTTAACATACAGCATCTTGTGAAATATTAAGTCATGTTTTTACAGTCAAGGGAAAAAGAACTTCCTCTATGTCGCTAAGCTCCATGTATTTCCTATAGATCATAAAGCTGTTTTACTGGCTTTAGACAATATCATAATGTAAAACATACAAAAAGCAAAGAGGCAAAGGTAAAATTTATTGACTTGGCAATTAAAATAATGCATCCGTGCAGGTTTATTTTTATAAACAACACAGTCATTGTGAGTGTGAACATATTTATTTCTCTATACCTCCATAGACACCTACTTTTAAAAAGTAGATAATAACCACATGTCACACTCCACAATTTTTCCAACATTTACGTATGATCACCTGGTTTTCAAGTTACCCTTTATTTATACTTTATTGTGGATTTGATTATACATAATTCTCTTTAAGCAATAAATTTATTAAAGTTGTAAAACGTACCTGTTTTAAAACAGGAGTAATAAGTAATGATGGGCCCCACAAAAACTCAGTGTCCTCAACCCAGCTGTTTGTATCCTCATAAAACCTAAGAACAATGACAATGGTTAATATATAATGAAAAAAAAAAGTCTATCCAAATTTCTTGGCCACTTTATCTTTCTAGTTTTTTTTTTTTCCGGGAAATATTATTAGCTTTAATTTTATTTATTCCATAGTCATTTGAATCTTTAGTTCTTATATCTTTTATGGTTCTCCTGAGACTCAAGAAGAAAGAGAGGAAAGAAAGAAGAGAGAAAGGAAGAAAAGGAGGAAGAAGGGAGGAAGGTAAGAAAGGAGAGAGGGACAAAGGAAGGAAAAAATAAAGGAAAGAAGGAAGGGAAAAAGGAAGGAAGAAACTAAGGAAGGAACAAAGGAAGGAGGGAAATTACCTTGTACTCAAAAAAATCTATCATAGAAGAAAAGGTGTTTTTATCTGTAATAAACAACTATTCTGTTTAATTATTTTTCTTTTGTAAGATAGGTTCACAAAGTACCCAAAATCTTTCATATTCTGCTTTCTTCTCTTTAAACTTCTTCATTATAAACTCCTGTTTTGACCTGGATATGAAAGGTTTGGAATGACCTTTAAGTCATTTCTTGAGGAAAAACCTTGCTTTGTTGAGTTGATGATATGCAAGGGTAAGCACAAATCACTTTTTTTGTAATTACCATAGTTCACTCTTGATCTATATTTAGATTATTTTCTCAATATTTACTTGATGTGTTTTCTATAATTCTATGCTTAATCTTTCTTACTGATATCATTTTCCTAACATATTTTACATATCTTTTTCCTTGTGGGTTCTATTAATTTTCCCATTTGTACCTTATTTTTGTCCAAGTCCCCAAATTAATTATAGTTACAACTATCATTATACAGCTCATCTAATCATTTATATAAATGGAAAAACAAGCAGCAGAATTCTACTTTATATCTTGATTTATTTCTCTTAATCTTTTCAATATACACCTGAATATACTTTAAAAGATATTATAATTATGTACGTAGTACTCACTCATGAAGAACTGGCCTTGCTACTGTTTCTCCAAACATATGGGCTTTATAAAACAGAGTATAGAGGAAAGGTAATAAGGTGTAGCGAATAGTTAAATAGTTCCTTGATGAAGTAACCAAAAGTGAATTCTGTCCAAAAAATGCAGGATCCTGATGCTGTGGAAAAGAAAGAGAAATTAAAATAAGAAAGCTAAAACATGAATGTAAGTTAAAATAGAAGCATTTTAGCTATTTTTAAAAAGAAAATTGTATACATTTTAGCTTATTTACAAAAAATTAAACATATCCCTATTTCATCATCAAGGTGCCTTAATATATCTAGTTTTTGTGTTTTCATTTGGTTATATGCTTTAATTAAACTTAATTTTGAAGTGGACATTTCAAGATATTTAAAACAACATAAAGTGTTGCTTTAAATACATGCACTTAGTAGAGATGACATGTTTTTTAACACAGTTGAGCTTTTCACATGTTAATTGTGGTAGAATGAATTATTGAACTATGAATTATTTTCGTGCTTCCTTGAACTCACAACGTTTGCCATGTGACTTGTGAGTCCCTACCAGTGAAGGTAAAGTGTGCCTTCCCACCTCTTGATTTTGAGCTCACCCATGCGACTTATTCTGGCCAATGGGATGTTAGTACACGTGACATATTCAAGTGAAGGCTTGAAATATACTAGCCTGAGGAATTGCTCTTTGCCTTGCCATTTCCATTATAAGAATAAGCCCAGGTGATCTGCTGGCTCAGGAACACAGGAAACAGAACTGCCGGGCCCACCTGCAGGCTCGTCCTATGAAGTACAGCCTCCCTTCTGACTTCATTCCAGATCAAGTGACTGCCTCATCCTAGGTGCACTGATGTGAGCAAGACTGTTTAGATCTCCTGCTTAGGGGTAACAAAATTAACTGAGGATTTCAGCCACCACCTGCCTGCATCCACCATTATGTTTACACTGAAGCCATGATCCCTTTGGGTCTCCCCGCCACTGAATGAGCTAGGTGAGAACACCATGCAGGCTCTTTCCTGGGAGATACAGGGAAGGTCAATGGCCAACTTTGCCATGAGGATTCCTCCCTGATCTGACTGAAACTTTGTTAGAACTGGACTGTGGTTTGAAGTTCTCCCTACCAAACTGCCTTTCTTCCCCATCATCCTCACCGGGTTCAGACATGAATTGTGGTCTGAAGGCTCTCCCCACTTTCTCATGCTCCCTCCCCTTCATCCTTCACGGGTACTTCACCAATAAATCTCTAACATATCTAACAATGTCTTATCTGCTTTTCAGAGAAGACGAATATAGAATGTAATGTAGTGTCAGAATACCCTATGAATAGAGGTTTCTTGAAAATATCATTTAGGTGGATTAGGAAGTAACTAAACTTTTATTTGTGCCTTTTAATTCTCTTCTATCATGCCTCCTGCCAAGCTGAGCTGAGTAGTTGTCCCTCTTCTCAAACAGAGTATCAGCCCCATATGCAACCAATGTGTGAATATAGAATGATTTCTTAATCAACATGCACTTAATTGCTTATCAAAATTTCACCATTCCCTCTAAAAAATATGTCCATGACATATGGAATTCCCAGTTATGGTAGAATAGCTCTATAGTCTCTTGTATGTCTACTCCTACTAGCTCAAATTTATGTTTTAAAAGTGACAGTTTTGTTCTTCACCGGTATGTTTATTCAACATTTATTTATTACAGAAAGACTCTGGACTCGAATTGCTTTGCCAATGTCTTTAATTTGTTGTCTTTCTTTAACAAAACAAAAGCTGGAAGTCCTTGATAGTATATATTTTATGAGAGAAAAGTTACTTGCAACTTACATTGGTAGAATCCAAGAATCCATACTCAAAAAGATTTGGCTCTAATTTAAAATACTGGTGATTTAACACACTATACAGTATATGCTTTAGGATTAAATAAAATATTGAGGTTGTGAATACTTTTTTTCCATGATTTCCTTATTTAACCTTTTTTATATGCAAAATAGAGATAAACCTTAAGAAGAGGACTTCTAACTATTCATTAAAAATCATTCTACAAACTTTCAGATCATATCTTTTATAAATTTAATATAAGTGCATTGTTAAAAATACATTTGTGTTTTATTTTAAAACATGGAGAACAAAATGCACTTACCTCATATTCATCGCCATTATGGTTTCTGGCGAATGGATAAAATGCCCCAAGTTGCATCCATCTTCTGCAAAGCTCTTCTGTGGTATCACCCACAAATCCACAGATATCTGCTCCAACCTAAATAACACATATATCTATTATTCATGATGTTAAGATTCTCAGATTTGCCTACATTTTATGCTTCAATTGATTATTTTGCATTATTTACTATCTGTTTGTTTAAATGTCTTTATATCATCTTCTTTATCTCAGTTTCTTTATTTTCCGTTTTTACTCCATCCTTGTCTCTAATTGCATTAGTTTACATACCCTTTCTTCATTGTCTCTTTAAATGTTTTCCTAGTGTCATGTTTTTAATTTTAATTTATTCTCTTTTGATCTAATCTTTCATTCAATGATAAGGATTATATTATTGTATTAATGTGTTGCTACTTAATACAAAACTCACATCCCTCGATTTGATTTTCCTATTTATAG